AATAGCAATTAATTAATGGCGCCATGTATAGGCTTTTACAACAAATTTTCAGGTCTTTTTTATAAAATAAGGGTGCCAAACAAGCACACAGTCCACCAAAGTGGATGGTGTGGTCTATATACATCTTACATATATCCTCGATTACCCCTTCAAGCGCCATAAAAATCCCATGCAGTCGCATGCGCCTGGAAAATCCCGAGCGGTCGCATGCAAATGCACCCACCCGCAGAACTTTAAACCATTAAAAGTTATATTTAGAGACTACTTTTCTATAGAGAAGTTAGGCACTATAAAATCTATACAAAATTCTCTATATAAAAGCCAGGTTTAACTGTATTACAGAAATACTATTGTATTTTGATAACAAAAGAAATATATACCAAGCGAACGTTGGCGGTGTGAAAATCACAATTATTTCAACATAATATATTACTCGAAATTATTTACGTAAAAAGATAAATTTTATTCACACAAAAACTTTCGTTACAATTTTATAATAAAACACTATACTAAAACACTAGAAAAAACCAAAAACCAACACAATAAAATTCACGCGAAAATGGCGTACGAAATAAACGTAGATTTTAAATAAATATTCATAGGATAACAGTTTTTTTTTATTCCACTGGAGGATGGAATATTTGAAATTGATTATATAATGCCAAATTTCTTAATAGAAAAGTAGTCTCTATATATAAGTTTTGTGGGTTAAAGTGCTGTGGGTGGGTGCGACCTCATGAGACCGCTAGGGATTTGACGGAATGTGGCCGCGGTCTCATGAGACCGCTAGGGGGTTGAGTAGGTTAAGAATCAAAATGCGTTATCACCCCTGAGGACTAAGATGATATGCCTCGTTTCCAGTAAAAAAGGGTCTCTGCATCTCTACACTCACCATACGAAACCAGTATTAAGCTGCTTTTTTACACTGGTATTCTGTGAGATCGTGGTCCTTCCCGATCGAGCCAACCCATTCGTCCTACAACCATAATATAGTTGCAGCGTGGCTCTACCACGAATGAATAATGAATCAAAAATCTACTACTTATGAATAATAAAGATAATATTCAAAGTTTGTCAATCAACAAATTCAAGGTTTTTATTCAACAAAAAGATTGTAAAAGGGGTAATTATAACATTAATAAACATTTGAATGAAAATAACCCATGGGAATGATGTTATCGCTAAATGAAATTCTATAACTATAATGTAATATTCTACATTGAATAAAAACTCTTTCTCTTCTATTCTTTACCGCTGAGCACGTAGTAAATTAGCGCTTAACAATTACAATTAACAATTTATTTTGTGCCGCCAGGAATCGAACACGGGTTGTTCGCGGACTGTGTACGTATGTGGGAATGTAAAATCCTGTAATTAATTAAATATAAATGTATAGCAAAAAAACCAGCTCTTTGTAATATTTTGCATACAGACGGTCACATACTTGATTTTGCCTGCCTCCCTGCCTAGGATTGAATCCTATTGCCAACCTCAAAATAACGGTTTGACGTACATAAAACATTTGTACGACCATAGACTTAGAATACATTATATTATACGCCAGTATATTCTAAGTCTATGTACTACGACCGTATACATATTTTAAAACGTTCGTAAACTACATTAATGTCATATTTCCTAAATATTACTTTCTTCACTTTCATATCTATAACTATAAATATTGACCCCTGCAGAAATAAGGTTCAAGTTAAAATTCAGGTATTTATAACCACATGCATGTCTTTTAGACTCCGCACACCGCCGACATTTTCAAAGGAGAGTAGATCTCTACGCAAGACAGGATTTTAGTTTACGAGTACGAGCTTATGCGCAGATGCACTCTATTCTTTCCCTTTCATAGTCCCACGGGATAGATTTCCAACACGATCGGAGGGAAATCAGGCACAGGAATGAAAACTTTATGTGCTTTTCGAGGGTATATTAAAGCACAACGCAAATAACTGGATATAGAGATTCACACAGTTTTCTTATAAAATGAAGGCAAGTGTCAAAAGGCTTTAAAAACCATAATCATCTTTTTACAAAACCTAGGTTATGGTTAGTGTTAGATTTAAACTAGAATTAGTTACAATACAGAAGTTCCCTGGAAAATAAAGAAACTAAAAAGTAAAGTCTGGAATTTAATAGCAAGTGTCAAAGATCGCGAAGACTGTGGCGCTGCAACTATTTTAGTGACTTCTTTCATGACAAATACTCTTCTTAAAACCTAAGGCTGTCAATAATCGAATAAGTTTTGAAATAAAATCGTAACCGGTCTTATTAAAAAAAGCAGTTTATAATTAGTTATATTATGGTTTCTTATATTTAAGCGAATACTACACATTGATTAAAACTTCTTTTACCGATTTTATCGCGTTTAATTTAACTTTTATTATTTTTATTTTTAATTCCCGACGTTTCGGGTCAGGTGACGTCCCGATGTCATTGTTAAACCCGGAGTACCTTCAGCTTTTTTAATTATTGTTTATGGTCCGATCATCGGGAATTAAAAATAAAAATAATTAAAATTAAATTAAACGTGATTTTTTTATAGAAGAAGGAGCAAACGAGCATGCGGCTCACCTGATGTTAAGTGACTACCGCCGCCCATGATCAACCGCAACACCAGGGGAATTGCAGGTGCGTTGCCGGCCCTTTAGAAAAGAGTAAGCTCTTTTCTTGAAGGTCCCCAGGTCGTATCGGTCCGGAAAAATTGCCGGTGGTAAACTATTCCATAGAGAGGTTGTACGCGGAAGAAAACTTCTTTTGAAACGTACATTGGTGGACCGCCAAGCATCCAGATGGTGTGGATGGTATCGGGACGTTTTCCGCGTAGTACGTTTACGAAATTTGGCAGCTGGGATTAATCAGAACAATTCCTCAGAGCACTCTCCATGGTATATGCGAAAGAAAATGCAAATAGATGCAACATCTCTTCTCAATGCCAGTGAATCGAGCCGATCGGAAAGCACTCGGTCGTCGATGATTCAACCCGCTCTGCGCTGGATGCGGTCAAGTGGAAGGAGCTGGTACTGGGGAGCCCCAGCCCAGAGATGGAAACAGTATTCCATGTGCGGCCGAACCTGCGCCTTGTAAAGTTGCAGGCGGTGTGCCGGCATGAAATACTGTCCCGCTCTGCTGAGCACGCCAAGCTTTTTAGAGGCCAATTTGGCCTTCTCTTCCAAGTGACCACGAAACTGAACGTCACTCGATATGTCGACGCCGAGGATTCCGATACTGGCTGAGGCAACAAGGGGGAGTGCCTTGAAACCGAGGAGATACGACCAAGGGGTTTTTTTTAGCGGTTAACGCGCAAGCTTGTGTCTTCTGGGAGTTAAACTGGACTAGATTTAGTCGCCCCCAATCCGGGACTCTGTTCAGCAAAGACTCAACTTCAGACACAAGTTTGTACCGGCACTCGAAGACGTTTTCCCGAGAAATATTGGCTCGGCAGGTGTAAAGAACATCACCAGTGCTGTCATGTGCATAGCAATGAATGTTACGGGTTTACAACATATCATTGATATGCAGAAGAAACAGCGTTGGCGATAGCACGCAGCCTTGTAGAACACCAGCATTAATAGGCTTGCAATCGGAGCTTGCACCGTCTACAACGACCTTGATGCTCAGATCTGCAAGAAAGCTGGTGATCCAATCGCACAATTTCTCGGGAAGCCCATAGGAAGGGAGCTTCGAAAGAAGCGCTTTGTGCCAAACCCGACCGAAAGCCTTCGCAATGTCCAAACTAACGGCCAATGCAACGGCAGTATAGTCCAAGGGGGAGGCCCTTGGACTATACTGCTTTCGCCCATCTGTGAGTTAGGTAGACCAGAAGATCACCAGCTGACCGATCACGGCGAAAACCGTATTGGCGATCACTAATCAGCTGGTGATCCTCAAGGTACCTCATGAGCTGGCAGTTTACAATGGACCCCATTTTTTTGGAGAACAAGGAGGTGATGGCGATAGGCCGGTAGTTGGACGGGTCTGAGCTATCGCCTTTTTTAGGGATCGGGTGGACGAAAGCCGTCTACCATGATTTTGGAATTATGCCTTGGGAGTATGAGTATAAAATCCGTAAAAGTAGTTTTAATCAAAATTAGTTATATTAGTTTGTTTCACGAAAGCAGTCCTGCGGAAATATGCGAACTAAATATAAATTATGGTATTTGACGGCCATATGCCAGGCTGGTGCAAAATTACATTTATGCGGGAGCTAATTTTATATATCTAACATAATATGTCACTCAACTACATTATAAAATCAAATAGGTTCAAATTTCAAATCAAACGGTTACATTTCTATTTGATTTAATTATATCATTAATTTTGATAAACGAGCCATTGTTCTTCTGTACAATTGTTAAAAAAAAATTGTTTGTCTTTTAAGTCGATTTACGTACGATAGTTTAACGTGACAACGTCATAACGAAATATTGACAAAATAATTGCATACTTTGTGGAAGAGTGATAGATGCGGCGCAAGCCGATCGCTCAAGCCGATCGTGCCTTTCGCTCGCTTGTGCAGCGCTCTCGCTCCGATCGTAACTTACAATGAGTCATCCTTTTTCGTGTGTGCAGCCGGTGTTCATCGTTTTATTAGACGATGTCACGTCAAAATCAATTATAAAAGAAACGAAAAAATAATTACAAAGTAGGTAGGTGATTTTACCTTGGAATTTTATTTTTAATAATGTTCTTCAAAGTTAATTTCGATCACGAACGCCAGTATCACCAGAGACTAGCCATCTACGTAGGCTATAAAAAAGAATCTATCACATCAATTTGTCTCGTGAATGTTGAAAGGGAAAAGCAAAAAAAAACCTCATAAATTCAAAAAGATACAAGTGTTCATTTTACACGGAAAAATCAGTAGATAAAGATATCATCAGACAAAAAAGCTGATGCCATGAAGTGAAATATAACATAGGTATGAATAAATCATCTTATTATTACTTAAGTATTTATCAGAAAAAAAAAATATGTAAATCTATACTTACAATTAATAATGTAATAGCTTGGCGCAATTCAACAAAGTCCATTAACTTTAGTAATTCAACTAGATTGGTCTGCGAATAGTCTATAATTATTATTACACCTCTGCTATAATCATTCGCTGTTAAGTATTCAGCCGCCTGCAAATAAATACAAATAATGTATATTTCTTAAAAATTAAACGACGGGACTAAAATTTTTCAGTAGGAACACTACGACTATTTCTTGGGACTTCTCACTTCAGTATGTGAAATAATGTTAGTAGTTTTTGTTTTCAGAACTCTGATTTTTCATTATGTTCAAGTATAATTTATTAACCATTTTGAGTGGATTAAGAATAAAACATCAAATTTCGTCTAAAAGTTACATTACAAACTTCATCTCCTTTTTCACCAGTAGGGGTATAATTTTATTAAGATCACACCAAAATTACCCCATGGCAATTCAGGTGTGATTCCGTTCGAAGAAACTATTCCGATCATATCTCGGTCGTGAGATTAAACGAGACAAAAATGGCTCTCCGAGGCCTGAAAAACGGCAAGGCCCTGATAAAGTCCTTAATAAGCCCCACTGTGGTGCGCGTACGTTTTTTTATCGAGAGTTATTTCAAATTCTCACACAAATTTAACGACTTCCAGCCCCCGAATTACCCGGTTTTCTAAAAGGCACTATCAGACTACGAGAAAACCTTTCATTTGGTCTAAAATTGGATGATACTACAGCCCCTTCAGCGGTGTTTAATTACTTGTCGCTATATCAAAAAGCCCCAGTGACTGTACCTTAGGACTAGGGGGCTATGTCATTAACGAATTAGAGAATTCAACTTCATAGGAGTGATAATTTATATCTTTACGACGAAGTTGAGTTAAATCCCTACATATGTCTATATAATCTAAATCGATGACAGTGTCATAGCATAAGAATAAAGGGTAATTCAAGTACATTGTGTATAGCGATGACATAAGAAAAGCTTAGGCTTAATAAATTTTGCAAGTGGCCGGAGGTGCAATTGCCCTCTCCCCCCTCCCATCAACATAGTTGTGGAATTATTTAAAATACTACTACAGGAGGGTACCAGCACCTCTTGTAATGGAGAAACCCTCACTGAGCATCCACGACAAAGCTAATCCACTCCTCCTGAACGTGGGTGCTCCAGCTACCACGCGTATTATGGGAGGGCAAAATTCCGATTAGCACAAAAGCTGCTCGAAGCAAACGGAGCAACAAGACAAAGGCGACCCCTGCACCACTAACCGTGAATTTCTGCAACATCAGGAGACTTCATTCTAACTTAAACGCCACGCCATCCACTACCATTTGGAGAAATCTACGTCAGCCTTGCTCATTGTGACCGAGACGCAGATGTCTCTCCGGCTGCTACTTCGTATCTCTCTTACCCGTGATCAAAATGGAACACTCTTTTGTGTTTCGAGCTGGAATCTGCTTACACGTTAGTTAGAGAGGGCATAGTCTGTTCTCGACGCCTAGACAGTTTTCAAGTTTCGGACATGTCCATCCTTTGGCTACGCGTAGATTGTGACGACCATCTGCGCGTCTACGAGTGCCTCTATAGGTCCCATAGCAGTAATGCCTAAACAGGCCAAATCATCGACCATATCCAAATGGCTACAAATTTCTTGCTACAGCAGATCCCATCTGCAGAGACTATGATCCTAGATGATTTTAATGCTCACCATGCCAAATGACTCGGTTCAAGTTTAACCAATCATGCGGGGAGATCTGTTTATGACTTTGCCCTAGCATATGATCTTACACAGCTAGTTGCTTTGCCTTTGCGGATTCCAGATGTGGAGGATCACACACCTTTCCTGTAGGACCATCTGCTGACGTCTCATGCGGATGGATATGAGGTTTCTGGCAACGCCCCTCTTGGCTCCACGGACCATTGTCTAGTCCGGAGTGTGGTGACACTCACGCTAACGTCACGATTGTATTCTACTAGCTGCTGCCGTATTTATTACTATAGGTCAGCTGATTGGAAAAGGACGTGATCGTTATTTACATACTACCTTTGGGAGCGCGTTTGCATCTCGCCTCAACCAATCGAAAGACTTCTTTTGTTGCTGACTCTGTCGGTGAAGTGATACTTTAGGGTATGGAACACTTTATTCCATCTTCTGTGGTGCCCGTCGAAGGCAAAAATAGCATCACGCTAAAATCAGGAGTACTACTGGGCCTGGGCTGGCATATCAACGTCTCGGAATGTAAATACCAGCGCTCTTAAAATAATATATAATTTTGCCTCAAGGCCCTTCAAAGGAATTATTGCCATGGCAAGATCAGAGCACATCGGCAGCATTGACGAGAAACTAGTTCGCCTTCCTTTGAGAACCCATGCATTCTGGTCTCTGGCCCACACTGTCCAAGAGAACTTCTATCAGCCATCTCTTCCATCTCTACACAGAGAGGAAGAATCACTTGCCCATGCCACAACCAAGAAAGCCGATCTGTTTAGCTCTGTCTTTGCATCCAACTCAAATCTAGAAGATGGAGGGAGCACACCGCCGACCATCCCGCGGTGTTAGTTCTTCATGCCGGATGTGCTGTTCACACAGCGATCGAGCTCGACCAGGTCCACTTTATGTGTGGCCGCTTCTGGAAGAAAGAATTAATTATAAATAGTCCCTCTTTTTCCACGAAGTCGGCTTGGGTTTCATTGCCCTATTCCTAATTTCCCTACCTTCAGTTCACCGTTATCTTTTGTGCCTAGTTTTGCGTTGTAGTCTCCCATTCACACTGTGTAGTGGGTTTTAGAAGAACGCGTGGCTTTTCAGATACCCTCGTATTTTCCTCCACCTCCTCATTGGGATGTGCTGAGGTTGGTACGTAAACCTATATGACTTTCAATGAATACCAATTGGTGACTGAGTATAAGATACGCAGCACCCGTTGAAAAAATAACAATCGTTACAACGTTGTTAAGAAGAGACTTGTGGACGATAAATCCGATACCTTCTTGGGACAGATGGTCACCCTCTCGGTGATAGAAAAAGTTGCTGGATTCGAGAATTACCCTATCCTCCTCTTCTCTTCGAAAATTAGATAATATCACATCGCAACTTACCATGCCATGGCGTAGCCAGGAATAGCGGGGCCACTGGGGACTGGGGGCGTTTATTTATGTCGTTTCTCATGGAAGGATGTTTGACATAGTTGTCACGCTTGGCGAGCGGGTTAGCAATAGCAATATTTTTTACTGTACTATTACTATTATTAGAAAAATGCTGCAGCCCATCTCCTGTCTGTATCGCACACCCACGGGATGATATTGGGTAGTGGATATTCTTAACCGTCACTATACATAATTACTTACGCAATGTTAATACAGCTCGTACTGAAAAAGAGATCAAGCGGCACCAGGGCTCGAAATTATTTTCCATCGATCATTCTACCAGTAAGAGTCAACTGTCGAAACTGAGGACCAAATGAGGTGGCATCGTTTTTGGACCACCTAAGGTTTTGAGAGAGACTGAGAGGTTTCATAGATACGTAGTACACGTTATAGTTGCAGCCACGCGCAGATGTGAGTAACGATCCAAGAACAAGTCTTAACTGACACTATTATGATGATATACCGGAAGTCAGTCTGAGCGAGATTGAAGAATTGAGCGGAGTTACAGCGGAGCTTTTGAAAGCGGATAGAAAAGCACTACTTTGAAGTCCTTTAAAAGCTCTTTCACTCTATCCTCCAAGGTTATAGGCATTATTCCGAAAACGCAAAGAGGAACAACGACAATCTTTTTCTTGATTAAAAGGCGACAACGCCCTCTCGAAAAATTACAGGCCGATTTCTCTTCTGAACCGCGTCTATGTGCTGTTTACGAGAGTGATTACAAATCGTCTAGCACTCAGACTTAATGACTACCAGACTCCCGAATAGGAGAGTTTCCGAAATGGCTTTAATAATATAGACCACATTCATACCCTTAGGCAAATTGTACAGAAGATCAAAGATTACAATCTACCGCTTTGCTTTCCTTATGTGAACTATGAGGAAGTCTTTGATTTCATTGAAAATTGGGCTGTACTGTAGTGTTTTTGCGGTGTCAAGTTGACTGTCGGAATATCGAATTGCTAATGTGTTTGTACAGTAGAGCTACGATGATTCCGAGAACCTACATAACCAGAGTTTAAAACCTATACAACTGCAGAAAGGTGTAAGACAGGCTAACGTTATACCTTTGGAACTCTTCACCGCTACGTTGACGAAGACGTTTTTATTCTACTGGACTGGAAACGATGGAAGGAACATAAATGGCGAGTACATCACTCACATTCGATTTGCTGAAGATAAAGTCTTTATAGCAGTATTGCTGAAGAAGCTAAGCTCAATGACATCAATCGTGCCTTTTTATAGAAGAGGGGGCAAACGAGCATATGGCTCACCTGATGGTAAATTTCAACCACCGCTCATAAACAACTATTACACCAGGGAAATTGCAGATGCGTTGCCGGAATCGCAAAAAAGAGTACGCTATTTTCTTGAAGGTCCCTAAATCGTATCGGACTGAAAAAATCGCTGAGGGTAGTCGATTCCTCTAGGAAGCTGTGCGAGGAAGAAAACTTTTTTAAATCGCACGGTGGTGGACTGCCAGTCATCTAGAAGGTGTGGATGATATCGTGAGTTTTGTCGCGATGTGCGATGGTGAAATTGTGCGGCTGGAATTAGCCCAAACAATTTCTCAGAGCACTTACCGTGGTAGATGCGATAAAATACGCAAAGAGATGCAACATCTCGCTGTACCAGTGAGTTAAGCCGATCGGAAAGAGCTCAGTTGCCGATTCGAACAGCTCTGCGCTGGATGCCATCAAATAGAAGGAGCTGGCACTGGGGAGCGCCGGCCTTGAGATGGGAACAGTACTCCATGTGCGGCCAAACCTGTGCCTTGTAAAGTTGCAGGCAGTGAGCCGGCATAAAATTCTGTCTACTGAGCACGCCAAGCTTTTTAGAGGCCAATTTGGCCTTCTCTTCCAAGTGACCACGAAACTGCACGTCACTCGATATGTCGCCGCTGAGGATTCCAATACTAGCTGAGGCAATAAGGGAAGTGCCTTGAAACTGACCTTACTATCCTTATAAGTTCCTAATATAGGGCTATACATTGTGCAACAATACTTTAGTAGTCAGTCACCCGACCATCCCATATATATATATACACCCATGGGTATGTATCTCCGGCAACTCCCTTATATTAGCAATCTCTACACGAATGCTGTTACTTTACAAGAACATACTCAATAACTTCAATAAGTACAAGTGGACCATATCGATCGACTTGTATTTCTATTGTTAAATACATTTGAATATTTTAACAGAGTTTAAATAATTTAGTGATTTTTAAAAGCAATATTAAGCATATATTTTACTATAATAATTAATGTCTGAAATGAACGTGTTTTAACTTTTGCTTATTAATGTATTTTTTATTGTTTAAGATATTAATTTTAACATATTTTTAGACGGCTTTATATAGAAATTAATTATTTGTAACAATAATACGGCGTCACAATATGCAGAAGAAACAGCGTTGGTGATTAGGCACGCAGCCTTGTTGAATATCGGCTTGTATTCGGAGCATGTACGGTCTGCTATGACCTTGATGCTTCAATCTGCATGAAAACTGGTGACCCAAATGCGCAATTTAATGGGTAGCCCACAGGAAGGCAGCTTCGAAAGGAGCGCTCTGTGCCCACCCCGATAGAAAGCCTTCGCTATGTCCAAACTAACGGCAAAGGACTTGGACTCCAATGCATCCACCCATCTATGGGTTTGGTAGTCCAGAAGACCACCATCCGAGCGACCCCGATGGAAACCGCACTGGCAGTTACTAGTCAGCTGGCGATCCTCAAGGTACCTCATGAAGTGGCAGTTAATATTTTTTTCTATTATTTTGGAGAGCAAGGAGTTGATAGCGATTAGTCTGTAGTTGGACGGATCTGAGCGGTCGCTTTTTTTAGGGATACAGTTGCACCAAAACTTCTATGGGTTCGGGACTACACCTAGGGAGTAGGAGTTACTGAAAAAACGCATTAAAACCGGTGCCAACTCCGGAGCACAAGTCTTCAATACAAAAGGTTGGATTTCATGAGACCCACGCTCCTTGTTGACGTTCAGCAAGAGAAGTGTTTTGCGCATCAAGCGCTGTGTAAATAGCATATCCTGCATGGAGCACTCCGCGGGATAGTTTGCTGTATGTTTACCCGTCATCGACAGTCGAGTTGGACGCAAAGAGAGAGCCTAGTAGATCGGCTTTCTCTTTTCCAGCATAGGCCATTAAGTCGTCCTTTAGAAATGGCATAGATGGCTGACAGAAGCCACCCAACGGATAGGCCTTAAGATGAACATGATCAACACAATTATATGTTTAGCTAGGACAAATTGTCCGAATGGGTAAGTACAATTTCGACCGAGATGTCAATCAACGGATTCAACTCGACTGGGCAGCTTTCGAGAGATTACGTCTTTTCTTCAGGTATACCATACTACTTTAAAACAAGATTGTACAAGCAGTCCGTGTTGCCAGTAAAGATTTATAGATCTAAGACGTGATCCTTCACTGCTGTCCGTATAAGTCTTTTAGCAAGCCATGAAGTGGGCTTTTTTCGAGGTTTCTTTGCGTGATATACCTAAAAATTAGGCTATACTTAATTAGAACTAGAGTAACCAACATAGCCCAAAGGATTAGTAAGTTGTAGTTGTAATGGGCCGGCCATATAGTTCGAAGAACCAAAAAGCAAAGAAGAAAAAAGGTTATCGAGTGGCAGCCTCATACCGTTAGGTAAAGTGCAGGGCATCCTGCCACTAGATGGAGTGAACACCTGGTAAGACATGCAGGAAGCCGATGAACCGTTCTTTGACGCAATTTTTAAGGGGAGGTCTACGTTCAGCAGTGATCTTGAGAAGGGCTGTCATGACGATGATAATGATGGCAACAAATTTATCATTATGCAATCAATTTAAACGACACCATAGATTTTCAAATCTTTTAAGGGTCTGTTTTATTTATTATATAACTAAACCTTCTATTTACGTTTTATGTGACTTCTGTATACAACTCCAAAAATGTTATATACTTATTGAACACTTTATCTCACAATTATTTAATTTTGTTTTTTTTTTTAAATTAAGAAGCACTAAATGGTTTTAGAATTTGCTTATATCCACCCTAGTAGGGAACAGTGTTATTATAACACTGTAATTTGTCACATATAAATAAGCGATTGGTGGTAAAGTGGTCAAAAACATTCATTAAAGTCCATTTTATCCCTTATGGGACATTTGGTGGAGAAAAAGTGGAATATGTAGAGTTGATAGAGAGTCATGAAATTTAAACTAAGCTTTGAAGTGAGAGATAAATATTCTCACCGCAACTGTCCATCGAAAGTAACTTATTATAAAGTCCTTATCAAAACTTTTTCCAACATTCTTTACGACAAAAATTCTGTAGTAGTCATCAGTCATTTTAGGTAACAACCCGTCCCACCTGAAAATGCAATATAAATAGATTAGTGAGCTTTCGTAATGGCGGAAAAACTTCGTACACTTTAGTGTTAACCTATAAATACTACGAGAGCGCGTTGGTTTGTTGGCACTCACTGCATGAGACGTGTTTTGGAGATCGAATTTCTTGTATCGAGTATATTTATATAAATATTTTGAGCCTTTTTGAAGTAGAAAGGGTTCAATGAATAAGAAATTGGTTAATTTAAACCTGATACATGTAGGATACGTAGGATTTGAAGTTTTTAACTTTCTTGAGCCCTTTCTTCGTTATCGGGGTTCTTTAGCTTAAAATATAAAGGAATAGGTTGATAAGGCACTATCAACCTATTCCGATTGCTCTTCCATTCTTCCAAGAGACACCCAAAAAAACTATGTTACTAAACTAACACAAGGTAAATAAGGGTCCTATCTAAAGTTGATCACGCCATGAATATTAAAAACGGCCTATAACTAATTCTTAAGAAAGATCCTATGGAAAGATGAATATATTCATTAGACTGGACTTTATTATATATACAATAGAGAGCAGGATATACGCAATTGCTCTCTTATATTGTCATAAAATAGAAAATAAGTTATATCATCCGGGTATGTTACCTTTTATAACATTTTCTAGTTAAAAGGCCGTCAATGCTCCTGCGGTTGATCGGGAGTTGGTGTTGTTCACAGCGGCGGTTGACACTTAACATCGGGTGAGCCACATGTTCGTTTGAATTCTTTTCTATAAAAAGATGGGATGATGGAACCTTCTAAACATTCTAAACTGAACATTTTAGTAGATATGTCAAATATATGATTGTTACAGTATAGAAAAAGGTACTTTACTGTAGGGGAATGAATGAGGATTATGAAAATTTTTATTAAATAATACGTACATAATTTTCGAATACTTGTATTCAGTCTTAAAATCAATAAACATATAGAACTGTGGCATCAAAGTTCTAAGAGTGCAATTCTTGTCTATTTTTGACTTTGCGCTCTCCACTGAACCCTTGCAGAAAATTATTCTTCTTTCCAAATATTCTCTGGCTGAAATAAGCATATTATTGAACAAAATATAAAGTCAAATAGAGTCCAATACTCGTACGTTTTCGCTTTTCGACCCTTAAATGGATGTTTGACATTTAATTTGGTCTTTAATTTTTCATATCTTTCTTTAAGTTTGTTTTTTCATTCATAATACTAAGTTTTATGTGTAACCAACAAGTGGTAAAGTTAAAAAATTTGTACAAATGACTTAATTAGAAATAAAATGAGAACATCTTCAATGTATTTGACGTCAATTAAATGCACATTATAAACGAATGCTCAAAAACTTCTGGTCAGACCTTGATAAAATTTATATGGAATCGCATTAGAAGCTCCTGTTTTCAAATAAAAAAAGAATCATCAAAAAGGTTCGCCTAGAAAAAAGCTCTAAGGCAACACACATAAAAAATTTGCAGTTGAATTGAGTACCCCCTCTTTTTTGAAATCGGTTAAAACACACGAGCTTATTATTTTACTGCATCCAACAGTGAGCAAAATCGAACTTACAGATGGCCTCGTCACTTAGCGAAAATATTCTTGCCGCTCAGGGAAAACCCAAGAACACACGCAATGCTCTGAATTTTGCAGACTATGAGATGGTTGTCTGTTTTGACTAGATCTTACATCTAGCTACCTATTTTCCAAGAAAATATTCTACAATAATGTATGGAGATGGTATAATATAGTATAATATAAGGTATGTAGATGGGCGCAGCTGAATTTTCCATTGTCGCCGATATATTCATGGAAGAATCTTTCGTACTGCCCGCCGAGCTCCAGTGTTTAAATACATATATATATTATAATAAATTTACATTTGTTTATATTGCTGAGTTGGCACAAAACCAGTCATATAACTCGAAGAACTAACAACTGATGTGAAGACTACTGAGTGGCAGCCTTGTAATTGTTAGTCTGGAAAGAGGTGCAGGAAGTCAATGAACTCAGGTTGTTTTATAGAATACCAGGGTGAATTAGAAGTAATTATGTATTACTGCAATTCAACTGATGAGTTTAAATATACAGTGTTCCAGCTCCTTCCCAAAATATGAAAGCGGTGTTAATTCTACCACAGGATACCTAGTCAAGTTAACGGGAGCGGTGGAGGTGTTTTTAAAAACTTTAATAAAACTAAGAGATGTCCGGACAGAAGCTTATATACTCCACTAATGACAAACTTATTCTAATACATATTTCAACTCAACTATATTTGCTTACGCAAGTGTCGCGATATATGCAACACATAGGGTGTAAAGTCAGCAACAGCATTTAAGCATATACTTGTATCACTTTGTGTGAGGTTGATGACCACGACTCTTCCCTCTCCAAGAGCGAAATTGTCGGCATTTTCAGGAATCCGACTATTTCGCTTATTTACACACAGTTTATATCTAAAATCTTCCTTTTTTCCAATTTAACCCTCAATCTTACGAGGTCTCAATCTGCGTCACTTGAAAGAAAATCTTCAAAATCAGAATTATTTAACATCTCAATTATTTGTGAAAATATTTTAATACATGGCCCTTTGTGATAAAAAATAATCACAAATTAATTGAGGACGATAGAAATGAGAATATTAAAAACTTTGAGGATAATTAAATATCTGTCAGAAAATTTTATTTTTTTGTTTTCAATTTTGTGTAAGATAATACTGTACTATTGTAAGAATTAAATTTAAATAAAATAAAATATACTGATTAAATTAATTTTAAAGATTAACTAAATAAAATAATTAATAAAATAAATATAGTGATTAATAATAATAATAAACATTTATTTTATTAAGGCGTAGTAAGTATTTTTAAGGCGTAGGGAAGTGACGACCCCATCGCCCGCTGACGTAACAGTTAAGTGACAAAAGTGCTATGTCGGTGCAGTCAGTCAGCGCCTTGCCAAGAGGTGTGAACGCCGTGCCTTGGCAGTATTGAGGGTGCAAAGGTCCGTTTGTGCTTACGGCCGTACAGTGATACAATGAAACGGTGCCGGGTCTGGGCGTCTCCCGTTAATTGGCGCCCAAAAATGGATGATGGATTATAACAGAAGACGTATAGGGCCGCTGCCCGGGGGTTGCCTGGACGCGGCAGCACGCGGGCCACCAGCCAAGCGCGATGAGCTGCAAGATCACCTAACAGCCCCCCGCATCCATCATTTCCACCAGATGGCTTGATGTCGGCGGGGTCCTCGCAGACTCGGCAAGTGGCATCCACCGCTGGTGGAGTGCGCCGCATGCGTCGGACGAAAAATATGAACGCAAACGCATTGCGAGCGTACTATAAGGCAAAAGGGAAAGAAACTGCAGAAGATGCATTGCTTTTTTGCTGAGCTGGAGCCGTCTATTCCCGTCACGGAACAAAACCTGGCAGACCGAGTTCGGTACATCATGCGCTCGAAAATATTTGATGATGCCTAGCTCGAACGACTACGACGTGAGGCTATTCCCTCATCGAATGTATTGGCTATGGCTGGGAATGCGGCTCTTCAGGCGACAGACCAGCATCCACGCGTGGAAGCCGCCATGGATCTTCCAGTTGTGATTGATTCGGACGATGATGAAATGGTCTCCCACGAACTAGAGCAAATGAGGAGCATACTGGAAGAGGCGATTTTGGAAACGCGCAGCATGCCTATCGAAAATAGATCGCGACTTCCCCGTATACCCCTAAGCAAGCGAAATTGGGCTGTCGTGAGGGCTCTTAACCCAATGCTGGTGACCTATTTGGAAGCCAGCCGGGACCTTTGCGAGACGGACTCAATTATTTTTGGCGCCGCAGGGGCAGTGTGCCGTATTATTAGCGCCAAGCTTCCCATGGCTAGACGCGCTACTAAACAAAGTAGCGCCATCCCAGCCTGGAGAAAAAGAATTGAGGACCGTATCGCAAAGGCAAGAGCTCTTATCGGCAGACTGACAAGCTTCAGTACGGGTAATAATAGACCGAGTGTTATGCGCACCGTTAGAATGGCGTTTGCTGGGACAAATATCAGGTTACACCAGCCGCATATCACGCAGAAACTAACGGAGCGCATAGACGACCTGAAGCAAAAAATCGCTGCTTGGGGGAAGCGGATTCGAAGACTTACTAAGAGATCAAGGCGGTTCAACCAGAATCGTCTCTTCCAGAGTGATCAGAAGAGGGTCTATAAATCATTAGAGCGACCAGGGGTATGTGGAGCGGGCCCAGGACCGGATCAGGCCGACACTGTTGCATTCTGGCGTGGCCTGTGGTCAGAGCCCGTAAACCACAGCGAGGGCCCTTGGATGAAAGCTATGGCGAGCCAGGGTGCGAGTGTTACGCCTATGAACCCCGTCATCATAACGCCGGAAGACGTGGCTGAGGAAGACCGTAGGGCCCCGAACTGGAAAAGTCCGGGGCTCGATGGGCTGCATCATTACTGGATAAAGGGGTTCGTAGTGTGTCACAATGTGCTCGCCCGACAGCTTCAAGAGGCTCTCGACCAGAAGTCGCTCCCGAGCCTCTTCACTACTGGGATCACTCACTTGTTTCCTAAAGACCAGGATACCACAGACCCGAGCAAATACCGCCCCATCACGTGTCTACTCACCATATATAAGACACTGACATCAATTTTGAGCGCGAGAATCACTCGTCACCTGGAGTTAAATCGGTTGATGTCACGCGCACAAAATGGATGTCGGGGCGGTGGTCGTGGAACCAAGGAACCAATCTTCATTGACGCGGTCATTGGCAAAGTGGTGAAACGCAACCGTCGGAACTTCTCCGCCGCCTGGATAGACTACAGAAAGGCATTTGACTCGTTACCCCATACATGGCTAAAGAGGGTCCTCGAGCTGTACAAAATTGACCGTAAAGTTAGAGACTTCCTCGGAAAGTGTATGGGGCAGTGGACTACGATCCTTTGTCATCTGGGCGAGCGAATGACGGCTACGGAAAGCCGCATAAGGATAAGAAGGGGTATCTTCTAGGGCGACTGTCTGAGTCCAATCTGGTTCTGCCTCTCTTTGAACCCTCTCAGTACATTACTGGAGAGCTCCGGGAGGGGATTTCAGCTTCAGAAGGGAGGTACAAAAGTGACCCTCCTTTTCTATATGGATGACTTCAAGTTACTCGCCTCCAGTCGCTCCCATCTTATGGAATTGCTAAACATCACTTGTGAATTTAACAATTCTATTGGAATAGAGCTGGGGACAGACAAATGTACGTTCCTCCATGTTGAAAGGGGTAGAGTTGCTAACTCTGAGGGCATATAATTATCTATGCCCGTCAACTTAAGGACCCTTTCCGCGGCTGAAACATACCGATACCTGGGTATGTCACAGAACGTCGGTATCGATGAGGCTGGTATGAAACAGTCAGTTTGTGACGTGTTTTATGCACGCTTGACCAAAGTGCTTAACAGCCTTTTGTCCGGTGTGAATAAGACACACGCATATAACGGCTGGGTCATGCCTGTCCTCATGTATACCTTTGGCATACTCAGGTGGACTTAACGCCCTGGATAGAAAAGTCCGCACTATCATGACGTCCCATATGTTGCATCATCCGAGATCTTCGGTAATGAGGCTGTACTTGCCGCGAAAGCATGGTGGGCGTGGCTTTCTGAGCATGCTCACCATACATAATCTTTTTTAATTAACTTTTTTAATTATCTTTTTTAAATTACTTCCTGGCAAGATCGGATGATTAATTCTATAATGACGTCATTTCTAGTGATAAAAGGCTTACCCCTCTATCCTTAGCCAACGAGCAATGGCAGGACCCGGCAGTACAAAGCATTTCCGACCTGGAGACCGTATCGAAGGAGAAGAAGCTCCACAGGAGGTACTACAGGGCTCTACATGAGCCCTTCGTAGATACAGTCGCCTCCCTCAACTGGCTACGTTTCGGTGACCTCTTTGGGGAAACTGAGGGTTTTGTCTGTGCAATACAGGATCAGGTTATTAAGACCAACAACTGTCGGAGATACATTCTAAAGGATGGCACCGTCGACGTCCGTCGAGCTTGTCACCATCCCAGTGAGTC